AGTAGTTCCATCCTTCTGCAGTGGCTCCGATCACAGCCTCCTTCGAGCGACGGTGCGATTTAGTCGAAAGCTGGAAAAGAAGGTCTGCCATAGTACCGCAAGAAGGAAGAATGTCGTTTATGACGGTAAAAGGCTAGAAGAGCTCATATCAAGTTGTGACCGGCCCATCGAGGAGGACCCAACGTACGATTACGACCGGCTTCTGAAAAGATTGCGAGCTCACGGAGAGTGCGCCTCAGTGACTTCTGAGAAAAACTTGGAACGCATTTCGAAGACCACCAAGCAATTGCTCGAAAAAAGAAGACTTCTGAGGCAGAATCCGAATGCAACCCATCTTGAGCGACTGATAGCCAATGCCAGTTGCAGAACAGCTAGGAAGATCTCAGGAAGTACAGGCAAGCCAAGATATTGGAAGCAGTCGAAAGAAGACGAAGTCTTAAGAAGTCCTGAAAGGACCTCTGCGAATATCATGTACCGTTGGTTGCACTATTGAACGAAGACGGGACTCCGACTTCTTCCCGGTATAAGATGAAATCTATCGCGAAGAACTTTTACGCCAACCTCTTATGCTCGTCAACATCCGCGCCGATGCCCGTTGTTCCCACTGGGGAAGTACCACCAAGGATTTTGCCTGCTGAAGTGCGTATCGCGATACAGACGATGAAGACGTCAACGGCTTCAGGACCTGATCATCTTTCCGTCGAACTTCTGCGAGCCGGTGGATACCGTCTACACGAGGTTCCTTCTCGCATTTGACGTCTTACCTTCAGAAGGAGAAGATTCCCAATCAGAAGAGAACGTCGAGAACCGTACTTCTCTTTAAGAATGGCGCACGGGAGGATCTTCGGAACTATCGTCCAATATGCCTGCTGAGTGTGCTCTACAAACTTTTCACGAAGATTATCCTCTCTCGCATATCTAGGACACTAGATGAAGCCCAACCCCAAAAACAAGCTGATTCCGCAAAGGATTCAGTTGCATTTACCACATCCAGACGGTTTCGAGAGTCATAGAAGTCTGCTGGGAGTACCGACCTCCTCTCGTCCTACCCTTCGTTGACTACGAGAAAGCCTTCGACAGCGTCGAAACCAACGCCACTCTGTCAGCGCTAGTCGATCAAGGAGTGGGCCCAGCCTACGTGAGGACACTAGCCAACTGCTACAAGGACTGTACAACAACGATGCAGCTATTCCATCGCCCCCTGATCATTCCAATCGGGAACGGGGTTCGACAAAAAGACACTATTTCGCCGAAGCTGTTCACCGCGACCTTGCAGTGGGTGATGAAGTCATTGGACTGGGACGAGAGAGGCATACGAATTGATGGAAGATTCCTGTCCCCTTCGTTTTGCAAACGACATCGTTCTGTTCTCGAGCGGTATCACTTGAGAGAGACGATGCTGAAGGAACTAAACGAAGTAGGGAAATCGGATTGCGAATAAATCGGATGAAGGCTCAGTTCATGAACGCCCTTTGAGAAGATGCAGAAATGGAACTGGAAGGCACTCCTATCATGAAGACGTCTTCTTATGTGTTTCTCGGACGTTCGATGAACATGGAGAACGACTTGAGGGAGGAAGTTAACAGGAGAAGAAGAGCAGCCTGGGCCGCCTTCGGGCCTCTGAAGGAAGTCACCGACCAACTGACGAACCCGGAGCGTGCCCACCTGTTCGACTCAACCGTTCTTCCGGTGCTCTCTTTTGCAGCTGAGACTTGGGCTTACACAGTAGCCACGTCGAAAGCTTTACCGACCACCCAAAGAGCGCTCGAGCACTCTTCTGAAGATGACCCGATACAAGCAACATCTGGTCGGACTTCGCAGTACGGATATGAGAAAAATGTCCCTCTTAGTGACCCAGCGGTATTGAAAGCGAAACACCGATGGGCCGGTCACATCATGGGAAGAACAAACGACAGATGGACACGAAGAACATCTGTGTGGGTTCCTCGCGAAGAAAAACGTCCCTGAGGAATACCACCAAGGAGGTGCATGGGAGTGTTCGTGGAACGGATGGATCAGCTGAAAAATCAGCTGATACGAGTATCGCACCTGGAACTCGGGGACGCAGCCAGCGACGACAACCAAGTAAATCGTAGATGTCTGAAGCGAGGGACAGGGACAAATGGCAACTTTTATGCTGAGGCCCGCACCCCATGTGAAGACGGGTCATCTAAGTATAAATAGGTGCACCTGCAGGTGTCGACATATATTGCATGAAAATCTCGACATTTTGCTTTATAGAAAAATGTTTAAAACCTATAATACCTTATGGTGTGCTTGATATTAGGTTGAGCCGGAAAATTTGCCGTTTTGATATCGAAAAATTCGTAATTACTCCCTATGCGGACGTATTTGCTTACAAAAATTTCAACAGAAAGAAAACTCATCCCTTTCTAACAAATTCGCGGCTCTTTGACGACGAGGGACTCCAGATATAAATATTGTAATATGAGAACTAGTCTCACTTCCGATTCTGGAAAACAAATTGTCACAGTTCTGAAAGGCCGCAGAAAAATTTCAAAACATGTTTCTTACAGTCTACGTGGACTGCTCTTTTTAACAGTACCAAGAGTGTGCTGATCGAGCTTTTCCATGATTTTCGTGAAATGCAAAAAAATGCAAAAAAAATCATTTTGCCGTTTTTTGCATTCTTCACGAAAATCATAACTTTTCATAGAAAGGTTCAAAGCACAAACTTGGCACTGTTAAAAAGAACAGCTCATGTAGGCTGTAAAAAACAAGTTTTAGAATTTTTCTGCAGCGTTCCAGAATTGTATGTAATAATTTATTTTCAAAAATCGGGAGTCAGAGTAGTTTTCCTATTCAATTTTCTAATTCTAGAGTCCCTTGTCTCAAAGAGCTTCGAGGATAATTTTAGAAAGTAGACGATTTTTCTTTTTGAAGACAAATATTGTGAGCAAATACGTCCACATAGAGAGAAGTTACAAATTTTTTTAAAATGAAAGCGACAAAACTTTCACAACCAAATATAACTCGATATTATCAGTTGAATCCGGAAGTTCGTGCCCTTTTTTAACCTCAAAACTCAGAAAAAACAGTAGACAAAGGCTCTAACAAGGGAAAGATACCCACATTAGTTGGCAATTGAAGATGAGATGTATATCCTTAGAGCGCCTTTGAACGCTGATTCAAAATCTGCTTTCTTTTTCTGCGGAAGAGGTTTTCGAAAAAAGTTATGAGCGTTCGAATGTCCAGATTTGCCATGCACTGAGTGGCTTAAATCAGCGAAACGCTCTAAAACAACATCTATGCGATTTCCACCGGCTTTGTTCCTTCCTTGCAAACAATATACTCAACACAAAAATGATTTTCACTTTCCGATGGTTTTGTACAGCTTTTCGCCAATTTTAGGCCATCTAAACCTTGACAAATTTGGATATTCGAACGGTTTGTGGGCTTCTTCCGGAAACTTATTCCGCAAAAAAGGAAAGCAGATTTGGAGTCAGCGTTCAAAGGCGCGTTTACTGATGTAAATCTCATTTTCAATCTCCGACTAATGTTGGTATCCTTCCCTTGTAAGTCTAAGCCTAAGCCAATGGCATAGAAAGGTGCCTTTTCAGGATTTTATAATAACTAGTTTTCCAAAAGCCTTCAGATTTGCAAAGTCGCAGAGTATACACTTTAAACACTATAAAATCTTCGCAAATTGAAACTCTCAAAAATCGATACGATTAACATTAATTTTAACAAACAAAGCGTTTCTAACGCCTCGAAATATAGGTTTTGGAAATTTTTGGGTGCAGCCTGATATGGACCAAAAACAAAAAAAGGAGAAGAAGCTGCATCGAATGACACTCTAGCTGTTTGCTGTCTGATGTTTTACAAGGTTTGGGATAAAAGTAATCAGATTTACAGCAGCAAAATGATATTCTTGGAAAATTTGAAAAGTTAGCTATCGATGCCAAAAAATTGTATAACATTGCGTTTTGTACAACTAATTGTTATTAAAGCATTTCTAGAAGCCCAGAACGAAAATTGAAAAAATAGCGAAGGTTGGGGTAGGTAAAAACCAGGGTTGAAGATTCCGACGATTTTTCAAGCGATCAAAGGAATCCGAACAAAAACATTACTGCTGGAAAGAGCAAGAAATTGTGCACAGAGCACTTCTCAAAGTATTTGTCTATCCTTATTTTGAATGATTTGCGGATAGTTCTAAAAAACGACACAAACTTTTTGACCCACTACGTACTTGGCACGCTTATCTTGGGTTATGAAATACCAAGACGCGATTCTACGCTTCTGTGCTGAGATAGCGTTTCCTAACTCAGTTTGGAGGAAGGAAAGAGGACATTGATGGGGTTTCCCGACAAATCCAGTGGTACTCTAGGCTTCTCGCCATCTTTATTCCAAATGCCAGTTTTGCGCGAGTTTCAGAACAGGCCGCAGATTTGGGGGAAACAAATGCTCATAATTCATTTCTCAGAAAAAAAATAATGAAAACAAATTTGAGATCAGCATTCGAAGGGCTATCTATTCATATGCATCATTTCTCATATGGTTACTTCAACCAAGGATCCTTCCCTGGTTAGAATATCATCAGGTGTTCTCATACTAAAATTGCAGAAGAATTCCCATAAGTCCTATTTCTTCCATTTATACCGGGAAACATATCTGCTTGAAAATGTTGCTAAGTAAAAATGTGTGGCCTTGTGGGCAGTAGCTGTGCAAAAATGAGCCCTTGCCAATCTGAGATGTTGGACCCCTTAAGAGCCTCGTAATCCCAGTCCCACCTTCTAATTCTGGGCTAAGCCCTGAAGTCGTGTGTCGAATTTCCACCACTGAGGCCCACTCAAGGAAAGTGGGCAGACTAGTGAAGTTTGAAGCGATTTTAGTACATAGCCCAAATAGAAGGCCGGATTGGGGCTAAGGCGTACTTGGGGATTCTACTATCTGACACTACTGAAACCTGACACGGGTTCATTCTGGCAAGCGACTCCCTTTAATGCTCACAATCTTTTTGAAAACCTTTTAGTTTGCCAATGACCAACTGCATTCTCTTCGCCGCCTTACTCACCTTTTTAACATGTGCTGCTTGCAAGGCTGTTCCAAGAGACACATCAGAAGAGGTATGTTTTTCATATATATTACGAGTTTGCTACAAATACTATACTTCCAATTTCTTCTCCTCTACCAGTGCCTACAGAACCTAGTAGGCTGCCACATGCTTGTGATAAAAGTACATTGTCTTGGATTCATTCAGACTACTCGCATTTGGTTCCGGAGCTTGTTTTGGATATCCACGTCAACTAAGAAGATATCCACAAACGGCTCCTGCATGAAGAGCAAGAGATTGTGGAAAATTTCAAAATTTTTTTTTTGCCTATGGCCAATGACGATGAATGAAAAATGGTGTACTAGCAGTGTCTTAGTACAACTCGGCTCAAAACCCTTCATTTAAGACATGGAATGGATTTCCAAACCAGCGTTTTTTTTACGCTTTTATTGGCTCAGACAAGGCACAATGTTCCTGTCTTTGCATTTTTTTTCCGCTCAGCGCCATGTCGCGCAATATGTAATTTCAAGAATGTTATAACTTTCTGAATACTGGAGTCAATTCTAGGTTTTGAGGAATGTGCTAAATTCATCTTCGCTCTTCTCACTCGTTAGCTAAGCGGCTAGTTCTGGAATTTCTTAGTAATCCGCCGCCTTTTATCATCGGAACCTTATTTTTTCGATTACATTTGAAATATGAGATTGAGAACTGATTTCGAGACTTTTGTGCTAGATATGAGATTTTTGAAATAGTGAGCCTCAATTTGCGTGGACTGCTTTTGAAAGCGAACATAGCACTTTGAGTTTTGAACTCCGATATTTTGTAACTATAAACACTCAGTATTGGTAATGTTCGTTGTTCAATTTTCGGAATTTGTATATTTTAGAAATTTCGTAATGTTTGATGGCTTAGTAAATGACACAGCTTTGAAAATTAGTTCTGAAAAATTTTCATACTTATAACCAGCTGTTTATTTCCAATAATTCATAGTTCTAATGTGTGCACTTTGTCTATTGATCACAACCTGCCATAAAGTCCAAAATGAAGTCTCAAAAATTTGCTTGGCATGATGAACTTCTTAGGTTTGAAATTTTAGCGATCATTTGCGTGACTGCGAAAGAAATCGGTTAAGGTCGTAGAAGGTAAAGGATGAAAGAAAAGATATGCCGAATAGTCTATGAAACGTTTGCCAGCCTTTATGCAATGTGTTTTTAAGGATGGCCGCAAAAACTTTCGCGGTTTGTTCTAATACGGATCAAATCTAGCTCGGTGCGCGTCTGCACGGCAACGACTTTCCGTTACGCGCACCTTTGCTATATGTCTCGCCCTCTTGCGCTCCAACTCAAAGTTTGCGAAGAAATTGCCCTATCGATTTTTTGCTTTTTTAGCTCAAAATTGAAATTCTGTGTGAGTTATAGTGATTGCAACTACAATGGACAGCCCACTGCTGACGCAGCCGGAGCTGTCACAAAGCCGCTGCAGATGCCACAGTAATCACGCTCGTCGACTGCAACTCTTGCAGAAAGGTTTTCCCGCACCTCGTTGTGCTGAGTACGATATCTGCCTCAAAGGCATTGTCCAGGTCAACTTGGGGGTATTGGGATCTTAACACAGTGTGAAAGCACGGCTCCTCCTGACTAACGCAACAGTTCAAGTGCGATCGAAAAAGGTGGAATCTGAAGCGAGAAAATCGCTTCGGACGAGTTTGCAAAAAAGGGGGCCTCCATCCCGCCCCCTTGACAGGTTTTGACGTGGACAATACACTAGATCTTGAGCATTCGCCACGTCAAAACTTGTCAAGAGGGCGGGATTGGAGGAACGCCCCCTTTTTTGCAAACTCGACCGAAGCGATTTTCTCGCTTCAGATTCCACCTTTTTCGATCGGACTTGAACAATTGCGTTAGTCAGGAGCTGTGCTTTCACACTGTGTTAAGATCCCATACCCAAAAGTTGACCTGGACAATGCTTTCAAGAATAGCGTCGACTATGTCAAGACGAAGAGCAAAAAAAGTTTAGATGTAGTGAGTATTAGGCAATTCAACAAAGCTACTTAAAGAGAGTTTTTCAGAAGGAAAATGGCTTTTTATTAACCACTTCAACGAAACCGCATTTCAATTTTTGAAGCTTCATGGAGTTGTTGGTAAAGGGTAATACAGAATAGACGGTCATTACATATTGAAATCAAAATTTGACAGAAAAACAATTCGACCACTTATTTTTTCATACTCGTGATTGTTTGTAGATGCAAAAACTGTACAGTCCCCATTTCGACTGCATGGTTTTCAATATGAATTTTCGGGTGAGAGAACTTAGGAACCCGACCCTAATTAGCTCGATCTGGGGTGTACCTGCAGGATACAGTCATGCTCTCTATCTCCTATTGCTCCCAAGGACACGGCGACAATCTAAGCCCCCCCCCCCCTGAAAGTCTTTTTGAAAGCTAGTTAAAGAATGCTGAAATTGTTGAACCTTGGGTTAATGAAACTCGCTCTTAGCCAAAAACTTTCAAAATGATTGTACGAACTTGAATTTAAATTCAAACAAAAGAGAAAAGCCGTGCTGTCATCAAAACTTATCTACTGATTGAAATTGATGGAACACAACATTTTGTTCAAAAATTTAATTAAGTGTCAAATTTAAACAAAACATTGAGAAATTGTTTGAGAATCAAGCTTTCAAAAATAATTTGTTTGAGTGCTAATACATCGAAGGGCAAAAGACTAGGAAATCATTTGAAAAATGACAGCTCAAAAACTTCTCAAAAATATTAGTTCAAAAGTGCTTAAATTCGGGCGAAAAACTAGAAAACCATTCAAGAAATAGTAGTTTAGAAACTTATCAGAAGTAATAGTTTATTTGTGGGCTGAAGTTTGGGCAAAAAACTAGAAAATTTGAGGAATGACAGCTCAAAAACTTCACCACTGATATTGCTGATCAAAGATGATCTGTCAACACAGACGATTCTGATGTGCGAAGAACATCCGGAATATGCTGTAAACAATGACCTCAACCTACGGCAAGAGAAGATTAGAAAAACAGTTTGAGGCGAAATTTTCCTTACAAATAATAGCGTAGTAGCGTGAAGTATGAAAACCACTTATCATTGCTATCAATAATCTAAACTTATTTCTATATCTTTCCTTTCAAGCAACTCTGATTGTTGTAATCACTGAATGTCATCTCTTGAGTGTCTTTTACCCGAATCCACCACACAAATACATTTCCTTGCAACTCTTTAGTTATGATCTAGACGTCATTTCTTAAATGTTTTTTAACCGAATTCAACCACATAAATGAACATTATTTTGAGAAATTTTTGTGCTGTCATTTCTCAAATGATTTCCTGGTCTTTTGACCTTTGATGAAACTAACACTCAACACACAAATATATTATAATTGAAAACTTGATTCTCAAATGATTTCTTAATGTTTTCTTTTGATTTGACACTCAATTAAACTTTTTAACAAAATGTTGTGTTCCATCAATTTCAATAAGTAGATATGTTTTGATGACGGCACTGCTTTTTTTTTCATTTGAATCCAATTTCACCTTCGTACGATAATTTTGAAGGTTTTTGGCTAAGAGCCAGTTGCGGTGACCTGAAGTTCAATTGGAATTTTCAGCAAAACTTGGCTTCCAAACAGGCTTTCAGGGGTTGGGGCTTAGATTGTCGCCATGTCTTCGGGAGCAGCGGAGATAGCGAGCATGGCTGTATCCTGCAGGCACTCCCCGAATCGAGCTAATTAGGCTTAGTAAGTTACCTTCCCTTAAATCTTCTGCTGTTCAAAATATTGGGTTGTCCGGAAAATAATGTCGCATTGCATCCTACCGCGAAAGAGTGATCACGAAAAATAATGAATGGGGTACCATTTGATAGACCAAAGCAAGCTCTACATGATGGCATCCAAACATTTGAGCATTTGATCTACCTGGAGTTTGAAGCCAAAATATGATGAATTTCAAATTATCAAAAAATCGAATCTACCTCCCCAGTATTCCTACGGACCTCGGATTTGCTCGGGCATGTAGTCTTCACATAAAACATTCATGTGCACGTTTTCGGAATTTTTCCATGGCTAGAATACGAGAAACAAAAATAGGTCAAAAGCGCGAGTGTGTCGCGTTTTTCGGGTTTTTAGCGATAAATTGGAATTTTCTCGAAAACTAGCCATTGTAGAAAGCTGAAATTTCGTGGTTATACTTCCAAAGACTTATACTAAACAAACGGCAGTGTCCGGGCAAAAAGTCAATTTTGAGATTTTGTGCTTACCCGGGCCTATTCCCTATGCTGAATCCGAATATCTACATTGGAAAGCGCGAAAACGGCGAAAAGGGGCTCTAAAGCAGGAGTGAAATCAAAAGTGGGCGGGGTCTTCCCCAAGGTGAATTCACGGTCCCGGCTTTCGGAGCGATCTTTTCAATTCCACTAACCGCCCTGACATCTCAACGGACCAAGTGCGAATGCATGACCTGAAGTCGAAAGCGAAAAGATCGCTCCGGGAGCTGGGACCGCGAATTCACCCTGGGGAAGACCCCGCCCACTTTTGATTTAACTCCTGCTTTAGAGCCCTTTTTCGCCGTTTTCGCGCTTTCCGTGTGGATTTTCGGATTCAGCGTAGCGAATAGGCCCAGGTAAACACAAAATCTCAAAATCGAGTTTTTGCCCGGACACTGCCTTTAAGAAAAGCTCAGGGTTGATTTGACGGAAGTAGGCCAAATTTCGCTTTCTCGCTTTCTAGCCAAGAAAATACCACGAAACTGTGCACACGAGTGCCTAATATAAAGAGGGTGTGCGTGAGCAAGTTGGGGGTTCTTAGGATTATTTTGAAAGGAGATATGATTATTTTTCCATTTTCCAGCTCTCATGTGCCTTTTGAAATTGGCTCCAAACTTTATGCAAATCAAACTTGGCGCGATTGCGTGAGCTCCATTTTGTAGTGCTTGCTCTGGTCTAACGGTCGGTCCCCACTTACTTTCTTTCGTGTCCATACTGCCGCGATATCGCATGATGAAGCACAATGCGACATTATTTTCCGGACAACCTAATATATAGACATCGAGTATATCATGCT